TTTCTAGTTTCATTCTTTTACAGGTAGCTACTCAGTTTTCCTAGCACTGCTTGTTGAAGAGACTGTCTTTTCTCCATTGTATATTCTTGCCTCCTTGTCATAGATTGATTGATCATAAGTGTGTGCATTTATTTCTGGGCTCTCTCTTGTGCTCCATTGGTGTGTGTCTCTTTTTGTGCCCGTACTATGCTGTTTTGATGACTGTAGCACTGTAGTGTAGCCTGAAGTTAAGGAGCGTGCTTCCTTTAGTTCTCTTCATCTTTCTCAAGATTGTTTTGGCTATTCAGGGTCCTCTGTGTTTCCATACAAATTTTAAAAATGTTTTCTCTAGTTGGTATGCAAGGATTTTTTAAATATCTACAAATCAATCAATGTGATACATCACAATAACAAATTTAAGAATAAAAACCATATTATCGTTCCAATAGATGCAGAAAAAGTCTTGGACAAAATTCAATATCATTTATGATAAAAACTCTCCAGAAAGTGAGATTAGAGGGAGTATAATTCAACATAATGAAGACCATATGTGACAAACCCACAGCTAACATTCTACTCAATGGTGATAAGCTGAAAGCATTTTCTGTAAGATCAGGTACAAGGCAAGGATACCCACTCTTGACTTTTATTCAGCATAGTTTTGGACATCCTAACAATAGCAATCAGAGAAGAAGAAAGAAAAGAAATCCAAACTGGAAGGGAAGAAGTAAAACTGTCACTGTAGATAACATGATCCTATACATAGCCAATGCTAAAGATGCCCCTGGAAAACCACTTGAGCTCATCAATGAATTCAGTGAAATTGCAGGATACAAAATTAATATACAAAAATCTGTTTTTCTGTGTACCAACAACAAACTATAAGAAAGAGAAATTAAAGAGAGAATCCCATTTACCATCACATCAAAAAAAAGTAAAATACCTGGGAATAAACATACCTAAGGAGGTAAAAGACCTGTATTCAGAAAACTGTAAGACACTGAAGAAAGAAATTGAAGACTAAGCAGATGAAGAAATACACTGTATTCATGGATTGGAAGAATTAATACTGGTAAAATGAGTATACTACCCAGGGCAATCTGCAAATTCAATGTGACTTATTTTTAGAGGAGCATATTTTTGCAGATGGAGTGGGATTGAGAGTTATCTTCAAAGTTGAGAAGGGTCAGTCTTGGATACCTCCTCTCCTTGACAGCCTTCTTACCCCAGCCGTTGATTTGAAGCAAGGGAAGAATTGCCTTAGGTGAATCCCAGAATGATGATGTGGCTGTATTCCCAGTTAGTACTTGGTTCCTGCTTTGTGATTTGGCGTCATCACCTACATCAGGTGCTCTTGAAGGTGATCAGTTTTCCTACCAGATGGTATTTTACTGCTACCATGTTGAAGGGGACAGAGTGCTGTTTTCGACAACCAAATTTCAGTGTGGATTATAAAGTAACTCAGGGATCACTGACCAATGAAATCAGGTAAAATGAAAAACAAAACGTTGGTGCTCTCTGAGTTGGTCTAGGTCAGCAGAAAAGTCGTGAACATGCAGCAGGGCACTCTTGTAGATGGCGTTTAGTGAGTTCTAGGCTTAACGGCTATGAGCATTCTTTCTTGAAATATTACACAGCAGGTGCCCCTAGCTGGAATTCTGGCAGTAAATAGGAATCCTCCAGCCCTGGAAGCCACTGAACAGGTCCGGTTGTGTCCATCTGTCAGGGAACGCTCCCCTTTTGCGAGGGATTTTGTTCTTTCTCTATCTGAATTAGAATGTGCAGGGTGTGGGGAGTCTCGCAGAGGAGGCTGAATGAGGCTGCTTTCTCATATACAGATGTCTCCTGCTATTTTCAAGGACAGGGCTAGGATGTAGACATTTACCCATAAACTCCTGGATTGCCATATGAGAGAGCAGGAAGCCTCCAGAGAGGGAATGAGGAAATCTCAATTTGGTGAAACTTGTTTCTCTAACTCTGTTTAATGTCTTTACAATGAAGGAATTGAACTAGACATCTTGAATTCCCTTGCCAGCCATAAGGTTGTGTGTGATTCTGAGCGCTCTTTCAACTTCTGGGGAAAAGATTGTTACTGATTGGTTCTGTATATAATGAAGCTTCCTTGGGCAGTTGCTTTAGCAAATCCATTCTGGGATGGGCAAATAAAATGTGCAAAGCCCCAAGCACAGAACTCAGGGCAGGGCCCTCTGATACAGACCAAAGGATGAAAAAGCACCTGAAGTTAGAGACCCCAAATTCACACTGAGTTGGGCTGACTGCCAGCCCCGAGCTTCATCACTATTACTAGAGCGCTTGCCCTGCCACCTCTGCCTGCCCTGCTTCTCCGCATGACCCCACCCTGCCAATGTGCACACCTGCCCTCCAACCCACACACGTACACACATGTGTGTCCTGCAGACCAGGAGAGCAGTGGTGTGTTGAGTTGGAAGTGCCAGCAAGGCACACAGCAGAGACTGAGCGTGGAGTGTCTCTGCTATTGTCTCTTCTACTGTTTCTGTTTCTTGCCCTTGGGCTGATTTCCTATGTCTGCTGTGTGCCTTGGTTCCTCATTTGTCAGAAGGAGGTAATAATCCCTATCTCACAGCACTGCAGTGAGGGTTAAATGGGATATCACATGAATTGTGCTTAGCCCAAGTGCCTGGTACCCAATAAACATTCAGCAGGTGATAACTATTAATGTTATGACTTACTACTATCACATTGCCTGGGATTCTTAAAATATTCCCAGAGCTTGACATTGGGGTTGTGACAATGACTTTTTTTTTTTTTGCAGGACCCTGCAGCTGATTAAATTAGGTAAAATGCAAAAATCACTTAGTGATTTAGTGTAGAACCTGTCAGAAATATGTGTTCAGCATACACTGAGTTAGCTATTGTTAGTTTTAAATAAATTCTTTAAAGTCTGTTTCTTTTAGAAAGGAATATGTGTTCAGTAAAGGTCAGTTGCCCTTACTTCTTCCCCTTTAAGGAAGAGAACAGTTCAGAAAGAGGTTGGCACTACCCAAGAGAAGGGTCAGTCTTGGATACCTCCTCTCCTTGACAGCCTTCTTATCCCAGCCGTTGATTTGAAGCAAGGGAAGAATTGCCTTAGGTGAATCCCAGAATGATGATGTGGCTGTATTCCCAGTTAGTACTTGGTTCCTGCTTTGTGATTTGGCGTCGTCACCTACATCAGGTGCTCTTGAAGGTGATCAGTTTTCCTACCAGATGGTATTTTACTGCTCCCATGTTGAAGGGGACAGAGTGCTGTTTTCGACAACCAAATTTCAGTGTGGATTATAAAGTAACTCAGGGATCACTGACCAATGAAATCAGGTAAAATGAAAAACAAAACGTTGGTGCTCTCTGAGTTGGTCTAGGTCAGCAGAAAAGTCGTGAACATGCAGCAGGGCACTCTTGTAGATGGCGTTTAATGAGTTCTAGGCTTAACGGCTATGAGCATTCTTTCTTGAAATATTACACAGCAGGTGCCCCTAGCTGGAATTCTGGCAGTAAATAGGAATCCTCCAGTCCTGGAAGCCACTGAACAGGTCCGGTTGTGTCCATCTGTCAGGGAACGCTCCCCTTTTGCGAGGGATTTTGTTCTTTCTCTATCTGAATTAGAATGTGCAGGGTGTGGGGAGTCTCACAGAGGAGGCTGAATGAGGCTGCTTTCTCATATACAGATGTCTCCTGCTATTTTCAAGGACAGGGCTAGGATGTAGACATTTACCCACAAACTCCTGGATTGCCATATGAGAGAGCAGGAAGCCTCCAGAGAGGGAATGAGGAAATCTCAATTTGGTGAAACTTGTTTCTCTAACTCTGTTTAATGTCTTTACAATGAAGGAATTGAACTAGACATCTTGAATTCCCTTGCCAGCCATAAGGTTGTGTGTGATTCTGAGCGCTCTTTCAACTTCTGGGGAAAAGATTGTTACTGATTGGTTCTGTATATAATGAAGCTTCCTTGGGCAGTTGCTTTAGCAAATCCATTCTGGGATGGGCAAATAAAATGTGCAAAGCCCCAAGCACAGAACTCAGGGCAGGGCCCTCTGATACAGACCAAAGGATGAAAAAGCACCTGAAGTTAGAGACCCCAAATTCACACTGAGTTGGGCTGACTGCCAGCCCCGAGCTTCATCACTATTACTAGAGCGCTTGCCCTGCCACCTCTGCCTGCCCTGCTTCTCCGCACGACCCCACCCTGCCAATGTGCACACCTGCCCTCCAACCCACACACGTACACACATGTGTGTCCTGCAGACCAGGAGAGCAGTGGTGTGTTGAGTTGGAAGTGCCAGCAAGGCACACAGCAGAGACTGAGCGTGGAGTGTCTCTGCTATTGTCTCTTCTACTGTCTCTGTTTCTTGCCCTTGGGCTGATTTCCTATGTCTGCTGTGTGCCTTGGTTCCTCATTTGTCAGAAGGAGGTAATAATCCCTATCTCACAGCACTGCAGTGAGGGTTAAATGGGATATCACATGAATTGTGCTTAGCCCAAGTGCCTGGTACCCAATAAACATTCAGCAGGTGATAACTATTAATGTTATGACTTACTACTATCACATTGCCTGGGATTCTTAAAATATTCCCAGAGCTTGGCATTGGGGTTGTGACAATGACTTTTTTTTTTTTTGCAGGACCCTGCAGCTGATTAAATTAGGTAAAATGCAAAAATCACTTAGTGATTTAGTGTAGAACCTGTCAGAAATATGTGTTCAGCATACACTGAGTTAGCTATTGTTAGTTTTAAATAAATTCTTTTAAGTCTGTTTTTTTTAGAAAGGAATATGTGTTCAGTAAAGGTCAGTTGCCCTTACTTCTTCCCCTTTAAGGAAGAGAACAGTTCAGAAAGAGGTTGGCACTACCCACTGTATTCAGTCGCATGTGATCAAAAATTGTAAATACCTTGTGCTGGAGGGCATCTGGCCCAGTTAGAAGGCCAGGGCAGATGTTCCCATCATCGCTGATGGGAAGGAAGTAGATTCCCCGGCAGTGAATGGCTTACAGGAGGGTGTCATGTCGGCAGGCCAGGTACAGGAGAAAGAGAATGAACAGGCACGGTCTGCTTGGAGTGAGCTGGCCTGCCCACACAGTGCGGGAAGGCCAGCCCAACCATCTCACCGCTAGTGCTCTCAGGCCTTTGGATGGCAACTAAGGGATGAACTCATTCCTCTGCTTCAGCTGAAACTGTGGAAGCCTTTGGGCCCTTTGACAGCAGTGTCGTAAAAGAGCAGACCCAGGTCCCAGAAAGATAGGTAAAATGTTGACCTGGAGTTTGACAGCCTCAATCCCCATTCTGGGACCCTTTCACCCTCTGTGGTCCTTGGGAAAAATACTTGTTCCTAGCACACGGGGAATCAGAGCCTCCTTGTAGGCCAGAGGTGGGGTGTGATGGAGACCCAGTGGGGTAATGCATAGGAGGGTGCCAAGTGATCAGGAAAGAGCCAGCATGTGTTCCGTTGTTTTTATTGCCAGTAGTAGCAAGATGAAGAAACACCGTATAACGATAAATACACAGCGAGGCTCCTGGGGGCTCATTAGAGTCGTTGTGTTGCTGGCTTAAAAGGGCGTCTTAGGAAGTGGAAAGCCCTTGGTCTCCTGGCTAACGGCTAGCAGGAAGCACATCTATCCACAGAGCCCAGGAGCAGCACTCGGAGAGGCTGTCACCAAGGTGCTGCGGGCTCCCCGCTCAGCCCCCGGCTGCTGGACACCTTATCTGTCAGAGGCTATGCAAGCTTTTCTTTACCTCCAGCTGAACTGTGAAGTGTTAATCAAATACTCTTTCATCCAAAAATAGCAACCATTTTGACAGTTGTCTTGAAGCCAGATTTCCAGGTGGTTTACTTTCATTTGGATACACACTGTAAAATGAATGTGAAACTGGGCTCAAAACAGCTTAGGGAATCAGAATCTTTTATCTCCAGAAATATGAAGTATGTGTGGATTTATATCCTTCACGTGCTAGACCCAAAATTGTATAAGGCAGTGTCATGATCCCATTGCAATACTGCTGAAAGGCCTTGGGTTAAAATTTCACAGAGAATTAAGAGGTTTGAGAGTCAGCTCTTTAGGCCTTGGGATTTCAGCATAATCCACACACCAGCTGCGGCCTCTCGTTCCTGTGCTGTTAATCATGGGGAAGTGTGCCTCCAAGATAGGACTGTGTTACTTCCTTGTCTGAATGTACCTCTCACTACCTACAGTGAAGCTTAGTCTGAGAAGGTTGTTGACTTGAAACTTGGCGACTTAGAAGGTGGCAGGGAAAGAGGAAGTGCATGTTCGTTGCGTGCTTACTTGGTTCCAGACACTGCTGGTCACTGGGCTTCACATGCTGTGCAGGTCATTTTATGGATGGCACCTTCTCTGCCTGTTTGACAGCCCCATCACAAACTGATGAAATCAGCTGTTCAAAGACAATTCAACAAGTAACAAATGAGATGTGAACCCAAGTTTATCTGATTCTTTGTAAATTAACCCACTTCATTTGCAAGAATATCTCCACATAATAATGCTCTATACAGCAGAAGTTCTATTCTTGCTATTGTGTTATGAAGTCTGGAGTTAGGCAGTTCAGAGCTGGTAGGGTCTGCACAGTTGTTAGGAATTCAGGCGCCTTCCACTGCCTAGAGTATGGACCTCATCTTTCTGAAACAAGATGGCTGCTGGGGCTCCATCCATCATGTTAATATACCAAGCAGCAACGCTGGAGGAAGAGATAAACATGACCTTACTCAGAAGGATTTTCTGAGCACTCCAGTGTACCCCGGCTTCTGTCTCCTCAGCCAGCACTGTGTCCCACAGCTACACCTGGCTCCAGCTAGAAAGGGGCCCGAGAACTGGGATGTTTTAACTGGTCAGGAGTGTGACCAGTCAAAAAGCGGGATCTTCTTCCTGAACATTAAGAGAAAGGTGTGTTGGGGAAGAGACTGGCACAGACTCCAAACATCATATATTTTCTTGCTCTCTTAGGCTGGGGACGGAACTTAGCCTATACTCAGTCATGAGGATGAGAGAGGGGTTGGTCAGCCTGATCCTTAGCAATTCATCTTGCTAACTCAACTTGTGGGCAAACTTTTTTCCCAACTGCACCTCCTAGCCTTTGTAGTTAGCTTCTGCTAAACACATGTCTCAGTGACAGTAAGCAATGTGTGTCTATTCTACCTGGTTTAAGTTTTTTCTTCTATCAGAATTGCTTGTGGACAGGGAGAGAAAATGCAGCAGGGAAGGAAAATAGAAAACCTGTATGGTTTTTATGCTACAATCTTCACCTGCAGAGGACGCTGTCACAACTCTTGTTTCCTTAACACAAAAGCCTCTTTCTCCTAAAAAAGAAAAACAAAAATGTATTAAAAACTATCCCAAAAGGGTTTGAAACCACCAAGAGGCCTCCACCAAAAAGTTAGAATGCCATCTTTCTAGTTTATTTTTCTGTTATATATTCATCTGAGTTTTTTTCTCAAAATATTTCTTTTTTTTTTTTTTTAAGCATTTTATTTCGTATTGGGGTATAGCCAATTAACAATAGTGTGATAGTTTCAGAGAAGGAAACGGCAACCCACTCCAGTGTTGTTGCCTGGAGACTCCCGGGGACAGAGGAGCCTGGTGCGCTGCTGTCCATGGGGTCGCACAGAGATGGACATGACTGAAGCGACTTAGCATGCATGCATGCATGCATGCATTAGAGAAGGAAACGGCAACCCACTCCAGTGTTGTTGCCTGGAGACTCCCGGGGACAGAGGAGCCTGGTGCGCTGCTGTCCGTGGGGTCGCACAGAGATGGACACGACTGAAGCGACTTAGCATGCATGCATGCATGCATTAGAGAAGGAAACGGCAACCCACTCCAGTGTTGTTGCCTGGAGACTCCCGGGGACAGAGGAGCCTGGTGCGCTGCTGTCCGTGGGGTCGCACAGAGATGGACACGACTGAAGCGACTTAGCAGCAGCAGCAGCAGCAGTTTCAGGTGAACGGCAAAGGGACTCAGCCACACATAGACCACTGTCTATTCCCCTGCACACTCCCCGCCCGTTCAGGCTGCCACGTGACATTGAGGAGAAATATTTTAAGTAAAGTATTAATTCAAATTAAACTGAACATTGATGTCACGTACAACACTGCGAAGTGAGGAAAGGTTACCCGTGGCCTCGGTTCTCGTGTTAAGCTCTGCGTGAGACTTGAGGTCAGCAAGTCAGTCTCTGGGTTTCAGATCCTCACCTACAGATGTGGGAGACGTCGTGTGCCAAGGGCCTGCCCCACTCAGACGTCTGTGGTCATTCCACACGACACTGTCTGCAGAACAGGTGGGATCACAGATCTAGCATCTAGTCCAGTTGGTTCTTAGTTTGGAGTTCATCGATAGACTTCAGAGTGCATCATCATGTTAATGAGGGGAACACTGCCTAAACACCAAGTTTATACTCCTCTCTAGAAGAAGATAGCAACTCACTCCAGTACTCTTGCCTGGAGAATACCTTGGACGGAAGAGCCTGGTGGGCTACAGTCCACGGGGTCACAAAGAGTCAGACACAACTGAGCGACTTCACTTCACTTCATTAGAAGAAAGGCCTATCCCATTCATGAGATTCTTAAGGAGTCTTCAGGTTAAGAATCACTGATCTAGTCTCGTTTCATGGATAGGCATTTTCCAACCAGGGATGTGAAGAGACTGTCCCCACAAGCACATCTGATGGATCCTCAGGCCATTGGAGAGCTGGTGTCACCGTCTCTAAGTCCGTGACTCCTCGGCCGCGTCCCACTGAGCCTGCTCTGCCCCTTGTTGGTCTCCCCATCTGGGCCCAGTTCATAAGGTCTCTGTGGCCTATACAGTCTCCTCTGTCAGCTTTTCCCCCTGAATCTCCCCCACAATTCCTGTGGGCAGCCCTTTGGCCCAGAAGTAAGAGGGGAGATGGACAAGAGAGGAGGTCTGTCTAGGCTCACATAGTTGGGATTCTTGTTTCCACTCCCTTATCTCCCTTATCTCTTAAGGAACACATGAGCTCTTCATGTATTTCATCCTTCTTGTCAAGGGTGAGGAGGTGAGTCTTCTCCCAAGACAGGACATAATTGCGTAACAGACCACAGTGTCTGTCGCAGAAGGAGCATTCTCAGATTGACAGTTCAAAGGCAGAAGGGGGAACCCAGCTAGGCAAGGGAGTGAATTTGCCTCCCTCTCCCCACACTGGGAGCCAAACTGCCTCCCAAAAATTGTACAGTGGGAACACTGTAGTATCTGTGCTGAGAATTCATCACACAAACCCTGTATCTGAAAGCTAAAGTGACCTTTTCTGAGCAGCCTTAGCCCCGCATGAGAAGACAAATAACCGCCAGATGGCCTGACATTTCCTTTTTTAAATTTCAAGGATTCTTGATTTCAGCTCTGTTATTGATCTGTTGGTTTGCAGCCCCCATGCAATTAAGTGAAGTCGCACTCACTGTTGTGGTCGTCTCACAAACAACTGCTATGAAAACCTAGCTCTGCCCTACATCTCCTTCTCAGCTATGCTCTCTCCCCCAAGCCTCCCAAGCCACCACATAGTGCAGAGAGACAGGCTGCAGAAAAAAGCCTCTTTCTAAACCTGAAGTTAAGATCTTTGAAGTGGAGTTGTATACCGCTGCACTGTCCATCTTGTAAGATCACTCCGTACTTTAGAGCCTCCTGGCAGAAGCCACACAATTCCTATAAAGAGGGAGTGTTTGCTCTGATTGTCCTCACTTCCCCAAGTGTTACATCGATTGAGCTCCACGCAGGAGCGACAGTGAAGGCAGAGTAGTGACTCCGGGCAGGGGCGGTGGGAAGGTGTTGCTCGGGAGCGTGGTTGAACAGATGTTAAGGACGAGCCCAGCCGTCCGCCTGCACAGTGCAGCGGGCACGTGTGTGGTGAGCGTGTGTGCATCCCACGCTCAGTGGGCAGAGCCTGAATGCTGAGCAGGTTGAGATCCTGGAAGTGCATGGTGCACTCGCTCCTCTGCTGAGGAACATTCTTTCTCACTCTGCTTATTCTGAGAGGGTCGTCTGGGAGAAAAAGGCACAGCAAGGGATTCTCAGGTTCTCTTGCCGTAACATGATTTATCAGAGCTCTGGTTGTGCTCTGAGAGGCCAGAAGCATCATCTAGTCTTCTCAACTGTCTGGGGGGCAATGAGGAAGGAGGAGCTGGTCAGAAAGTTAATGGGTCAACCTGAGGAGGAAAGCGTCGAAAACAATGAGCTCTCGAATTTTTTTCTTACTACTCAGCCCCTTGGGCTGTCTGGATACGTGGCAATATCTGTGGTTGAATTTGAAAAAAAATTGAATTGCTCCATTCAACTTGCGTATTTTCCCAAAGGTAAAAGTTAATTTGATCCTGCCTTTGCCTTGCGTCTTGAGAATCAGGCAGTCCACACCCGCGCTTAATCTGGTCCTTGCTGAGTAATTCTGGGAAAGCCCATAGGATGAGCAGCTTTGCTCTCTGTTTAATTAGACCATCCCAAATTAGGTCCTGCTGCCCACACTTAACAGGGTTCTCCCTGGTACATTCAGGATGACCAGATAACCCAGCTTGGCGGTAGGACTCCTGATTTCTGTCCATTGTCCCCTGAGATTAATGTCACCCAAGGTGTCTGGCTGCAGATGACCCCTTTTCTCTGTGATCACAATAATCACAAGGAATGAAGGGGCGGAAGTGAGTTTCTGCTGAAGGGTCTAACCTTGTTCTCCTTTCCTCCTGTCACTGCAGCTCCACTTGGCAGCCCTGGCGTCGCTCAAGGGAGATATAGTGGAGCTCAACAAACGTCTGCAGCAAACAGAGCGGGAACGGGACCTTCTGGAAAAGAAGCTGGCCAAGGCACAGGTGAGGAGTCTGGAAAGGGTCTTTTTAGTTTTTTGCTTTTTATTTTTTTTATTGTTTAAGATAAAACAGATACAGAAATCCCCACAATACAAATATCGCTTAATGATCGAACATCCTCGTAACCACTGTCCAGGTAAAAAATTAAAACCTGCGGTCTTCCCAGGAGTCCGTCCTTCTGCCTCATCCCAGTTCGCTTTCCCTGCCCCCAAGGCGACCACTACCATGACGTTCACAGTCGTGTTTGCTGCTTCTTGACAGCTGTCGCAGGAGTTTGTATGTCCCTAGACAGTCCAGTTTTGTCTTGCCCATTTGAAAACTACATGTTTACTTTGAATTTCTCAGTCCACAGGTTTTCCCTTCATTCTTTATTGGCTTTACACTTAATCTGTTAAAAGTGTCTGACCTACGGAGTTTCCCACAGTCCAGATGTTACTGATTGCTCACCCATGGCACAGTTCGCTGTGTTCCTCTGCCCTCTTTATTTCCTGCAAAATGGCCTTGGATCCCAGAGACTCAGTCAGATTCATGGTCGGTCCTTTCGGCAAGACTATAAAAGACTTTGTTTTTCCGCTGGGAAGCACATCGTAGTAGGTTGGCCAAAAAGTCTGTTCGGGTTTTTCAAAACCCCAAACAAACTTTCTGGCCAACCCAATATCTGGTTATTTTGCCTTTAGAGATGTTAGCAGCTATATTGACACTCAGTGCCAAAGTCCACTGGTGCATCAGGACTTTACAAAATATCATAGTATTTTATTTCTGCCATTTCTTTATCAGTTATTAATTGGAATACTTTTATAGAGACATTTCCCATCATCTATGATTTATTCAAACAATGGTGTAGTTCATAAAGGAAAAGTAAAATCAATGCTTCATTCTTTTCATTTAACATTTTTCAAGATAATGAATTGATGACCTATGATCTTCTGAAAGTGCCCAATTATTTTAAAAAAAATATGAACTTATGGGTTTAAGCATATTTGGGTCAGTCCTTTGTAATTATTTTCCTTGTAGAAACTCAAAGTTTACTCCTTAGCCAGTAAGAACCTCTTCACATGGCTCCTGAATCTTTTGACACTAGCCTAGTAATGATTCCAGGATTACTAGGAATTACATTTCTAGTAATTCTGTAATTTCTAGTAATTCTAGTAATTTCTAAAAAACCTGGGAATTACTAGGATTACATTTCTCCCCCCAGACCTGGAATTAAGCATTCTGCAAATAGACCTGGTTTTTCTTTGTGGAAAATGGTATTTCAAGACTGCAGTCTGGGTGCTAAGGGTGCTTACTGCTTCCAGGCTGGTCATTGTTTTTAGGCTTCTTTTATAAACATAGTCAGGGAATTATTTATTTATCTATATATGTAAGTAAATTTTAAGATAAAATACCTTAGGTGCTCATATTAATCTCTCCAATTTAAATTCAAACTACAGGGTTCTTCTACTTGGATTCCATACTTTATCTGTATCTCCTTTCTTTCACACTCAAAATGTTAGTTTGAGAGACTCCCTTAATGGTCCAGTGGTTAAGACTCTGCGCTCCCACTATAGGGGGCATGGTGGTTGGGGATCTAAGATCCCGTCCACTGTGGTGCAGCCAAAAAATAGATAAACAAAAAATAATCCTAGTTCTTATGTTTACAGAGGATGATTGGATAAGAATATTCCATAATTACTGGTTTACTTTATTCTGTATTATATACAATCAGTCTCAAAATAATAATAATCATATTACCATAACAAATAGAGTTACTGAAAAGTTTTTTGCATTATGCTTTCTTCACTCCTGCAGTTTTTTGCAGTTGTACTATATCTACACCTTCTGACCATATGCTGGTCACATCTTTCACGTTTTCTCCTCTTAGTCCTCATTTAGTCTTCTACAAGTAAATTATATATTTAATGTTTATGATGGTCTTAATGTCAACATCCTTCTGTTTGTTTAATGCCTGAAGCTTGCTTTCTAGTAGAGTTCCTCAGGGAGGACTCACAGGAATAATCTTCACCAGCTTCTTGCTTTTTAATGATGATTTATCTCTGCCCTTTATAGTTGAAAGGCATTCCTCCTGGATATAAAACCCTGGACTCATCTTTTCTTTACCCGAGTACGTTTCTTTTTTTTTCCTGAGTATGGTTCTTTGCTCTATTTTGACATAGAGCGTTGCTCTCAAAGTTTCCCAGTAATTCACCTGTTTCCCTCACAAGACACTTACTTACCGTAGACTTTCATAGCATTTCTTTCTCTTTCTTTCTCTCTTTTTCTTTTCGTTTCCCTTCTTCCCTCCCTTCCTTCCTTCCTCCCTCCCTTCTATTAATTTTACTAGAGTAACTCTTATTTTTAGTCATTCTGGTTTGGTATTATCACATTTTCTGTGTTTTCTTTTGCTTATATTTTGTAATCTTTTTTTAATTTCAGAGACTTTTTTCTACTATAATATTGAATACTTTGTTCTCTTGCCTTTTTTTTTCTTCAACGATGTTTACTATTTATATCTTAGATCTTCTGTGCCTGTGTTCAATATCTGGCACTGTCTCAAATTCTCTGTATCTGTATCTCCATCTTCTGTTTTTCTTAGGCCTTGTATGTTGTATTTATTCCCTCCTGGCTTTTTTTTCATGCATTTTTATTTTATTTCTTGTGTGTACTTTATTACCTTCTTTCTGAGTTTTTCTAACTTTGAAATACATTCTTCCATGTTTTATGTCATTTCATCTTTTTGAAGTCTTTTGGCTAATTTTGAGATAATAATAGTCTGTTGTTTGAGACTTTTTGTGATGGGAGAGGTTCTCTATTTTGCGGCTTGCTTTCATGGTTTATAGAGATGTTATTCTGCTCTTTTTTTTTTCCCTTCTTTTTCTTTCTAATAACTTGATGTGGAATTTGCTCTCAGTACTGTTCTGTTTTTCATTTTCATGTGAAAAATAGCTTTTTATTAACTTTTAAGAGGCAGAGTTGAAAATGGCCTTTTTAAGTTTGTAGAGCTTAGTCCTCTGTTTCCTCATCTTCACAGGTCACTCTGCCTAATTCTGTCCCCTCTCCTGCTTCTTTCTAGTTCTGTTCTTTCCTTTTTCTCTATCATGCCATCCTGTTCCATTTGGATCCTACTCCCACCCGTTTCTCCTCCTGGTAGGGAGTCCTGGGGCCAGTCTGGAATGTTCATGGGGAGCAGTGCTTTCGGCCCTTCGGATCCTCCTGTGGGCCCCTTGCCCGCTCCCTCTTGGCTCAGGAAAAACCCCTCCCATCTGGCCCCCCACCTGCTGGTACATCTGTTGCTGTCCAGTTGCTAAGTCATGGCTAACTCTTTGCAATGGACCGCAGCACACCTTGCGTCCTCCACTGTCTCCTGGAGTTGGTTCAGATTCATGTCCATTGAGTCAGCAATGCCATCCAACCGTCTCATTCTGTTGCCCCTTCTCTTTTGCCTTCAATCTTTCCCAGCATCAGGGTGTTTTCCAATGAGTCGGCTCTTCTCATCAGATGGCCCAAGTATTGGAGCTTCAGCATCAGTCCTTAATGAGTATTCAGGGTTGATTTACTTTAGGATTGACTAATTTGATCCCCTTGCAGTCCAAGGGACTCTCAAGACTCTTCTGCAGCACCACAATTCAGAAACATCAATTCTTCAGTGCTCAGCTTTGTTTATGGTCCAACTCTCACATCCATACATGGCTACTGGGAAAGCCACAGCTATGACTAGATGGACGTTTGTCAGCAAAGTGATGTCTCTGCTTTTTAATACACTGTCTAGGTTTGTCACAGCTTTTCTTCTAAGGAACAAGTGTCTTTAAATTTCATGGCTGCAGTCACTGCCCACAGTGATTTTGGAGCCCAAGAAAATAAAACTTGTCACTGCTTCCACTTTCTCCCCATCTGTTTGCCATGAAGTGATGGGACCATATTCCGTAATCTTAGTTTTTCTAATGCTGAGTTTCAAGCCACCTTTTTTACTGTCCTCTTTCACCCTCATAATTACTGGTTATTTGGGGGTTTTCCAGTTCTCAAGTCCAGGAGTGTTGTTTCTTCTCTGCTTCTGCCTACACAGACACCATTCAGGTCTTGTGGATGCTATTGGTTTGTCCCTACCTGCTTCTGTGTCATTGTTCAGAGTTTTATCTTCAATGTATAGGTTCTCTATTTTTGTGTGGGAATTCAGACAGATTAAAAATCAGGCAGTCATCAGTCTAGAATGGCCTATGGCAAGTTTTGAAAACTCATGTCTCATAATCTTAGACTGTCCGAGTAAAGAGGAAAGACCCTTTGTACTTGAGACAGTCTACTTCCACATCTGATGGGCTACCCAGAGAGGTTAACTTGCTCACCCAAGGTCAGATGAGCAGAACCAAGACAAGGCCACCAGTATTCTTTTCTCACAGAAGATGGTGCAGGGATAGAAATTTTCAGTTTTTACTTTGGTGAAAACTTTACTTGAAATATTTTCCTTCTGATTATAAAAGTAAGAAATATGTGATAGAAAAAACCAGAAAGACAGTATTATAATTTTTAATAGTGAATTATGGTGAATTAAAACTTTAAAATCCTTTTTTTGTTATTGTTTCTTAAGGTTTCTTCTTTTGAGCAAGTGGTGTTTTGTTGTTGTTGTTGTTTGTTTGTTGCATTAAAGAAAAAAGTAGGATGATGTAACACCAAGCATTGTTAATAGTCTTTATTGGTGAGAACTTTTTTTTAGAAAAAAGAAATTGTGAGTGCTTTTAACTGAAAGCTGGACTGTACCCCAGTCTTGAATTTTAAAAGATGACCAGGAAGGTTTTTATTAAAATTTAAGTCTCAACGACAGAGCAGCTTGTGCAGAGGGTGATAAGAGAAGCATGGGACGCTTTTTGTCTTCTATGTCAGAGATTGATTCAGCTTCCTTTTGGCTTACGTATGATCAAGACAATCCTATGTAATAGTTTTGATGGCTTGTTTTATCCCTGACAGTTACATCAAAACCCCATTAGTTGCCTCTCTCACTTGCATTCTTACAATAAATATATTTAAAATTA